TTTCTTTTTTTTTTCCTTTAACGTTGTGGTTTTTTTTCTTCTTCTTGGGACTCTCGGTTAGATGGATAGTACTTTATACGTCCTAGCGCGGCGCCGTCGTGCCTTTACTGTACGTACCTACCGGTACTGTATAGGAGGGTCTGAGGACGGCAAGCTTTGCGCGCCACCCGTCGCCGCCCGCACGACGTGGATAGAGAAGTAAGATACAGCGGTGAGAAGATATGAATAGGAAGTACTACTAGGTAGATGAAGGAGAGAGGAGGTAGGGACGTGGGTGAATTAGACTTTATTATTCTTTTACTTTTTAAAATACTTTAAGTACGGGTAAGAAAAAGAAATGAAAGCATCGACGAAGAAAGAGTAAGGGATTGGATCAGTTTCATACGTCTTTCCCGTTCATGAATCGTCATAGCAATATCATCATGATATTCATCATATTCATAACATTCATAACATTCATTATATCATCATCTAGCGTAGCGTACTTTACTATACTGCTGTATCGCACAACTTGTGTTTTGTTTGTTCGTTGGCGGCGACCGCGGCCATCCATCATCACTCCTGGCAATGCCACTCATCGAGCCACCCTTCCTGCCATCCTATTTATCCATCCTTACGATCATACCAGCTCCATCCCCAGCCCAGTCGAGTCAGTCCTTCGCCATATAATCCCACCCAGCTCGCCAGCATCAAACATACGATCCTAAACAACACACATGTATATGCAACGCCCACCTTCCTCTCCCCATAAGAAGACGCCACGCTCCCTCGCCTCGCTATCAACAAACTCCAAGCCCAAGCCCAAGTCGAAACAAAGCCACTAAACCACGCGGTAGCATGGAAAAACCACTCGTCAGCCACTCACTCACTCATTCCCCTTCAAGAGTGTCCTCAGCGTCAGGACTTCCCGCCTCAGCCTAGCATTCTCCTTTTTGCACCTCGCCGTCTCTTCGCCCGCCTCCTTGAGCCTACTCACCCACTCCTCCTTCTCCCCCTTGCCCTTCAACGCCTTGACAATCTTGCCCAGCTCCCCGTTGAACTTTTCGTACAGAAGCTCGTTCTCGGCGCTGCTCTCCTTGTACAGCTGGTCGAGGCCCTTGACCTTGTATTCGCTCGCTTGCAAGCTCTTTTCCAGGTCAGATTTGATTGTTTCGTTGCGGTCTGTGAGTTCGGCGATGATATTCGGGATGCGGGACTCGATGGCGGAGAGCTTGGAGGTGAGCGTGGTCAGGGAAGAGGAACGAAGGGTCGAAGAGGAGGCGTTGAGTTTGGCCATTTCTTCCCCAATCTTTGAGAGTTCAGATTGCAGGGAGGCTTCGGCTTCGCTGATGGCTTTGGCCTCGTTCTGCAATCTCTCACGTAATTTCTGCGGGCTTTGCAGGCGAAGCTTCTGGGGTGAGGTTTTTCCGGGCGTGGCGGCGGGTCGGGACATCGAAGGCGCGCGGCCGACGAGCGTGGGGATGTTGGACGATAAGGAAGCATTTTTAGTTTGCATCTTGTTGTTGGAGCCGAGGGACCACAGGTCTTTCATGGCTACGACGTCTGGACTAGAGAGGTTGAGTGGACGTTCGGTGAGACCGCCGCCGTGACGTGATAATGCGGTGGGCGAGTTCTCCTTCAGATTGGGCGAGCCAGTGCGGTACATCGAGCCGCGGTTACGGTCCATGATCCCTCCTGCTACTGGGATTTTGGTTGGCGAGGGTGTTCGGGGAGAAGAGTTTTGTTTGGATGCGTGGCGATCGAGTGACACAGGGGAGTTTCCAAGGGTTGCGGCTGCCATTAAGCTTTTCAAGTCAGATAGGGAGCTACGTCTTTTCTTCTTCAGCCTCTTAATATTATCGTGACTCTCTTCAGGGGGAGGTGAGGCGCCGATAGTGCTAAGTCTTGACGGAGATCCACTGCTGGATGGACGTTCATCGAAAGCACCCATTACAGTTGGTCTATCCCGAGAAGCAGGTCGTCGACCAGGCGATTCGATAGACTTGGAGCGCATGATGGGTGAGCCCTTGGAGTAGCTCGACGTAACAAGAGGGTCTCCACTAGCAGCACTACGGTTCGACTTGCTTAAGGTTCGCCATACCGACGGTCGGTCTTCCTTGGTACTGTTTTGTCGAAGTAGAGTGTCCGCAAATCTCTTACGGAAAGAAGATGCATTTGACGCAACAGAGCCATGAGCAGAGTGGCTTGGTCGAGCACCGGAAAATGAACCGAAAGCAGAGTTGTTGCCGCCGCCATAAGGGATGGCTCCTGGTCCAATATCCTCAAAGAGTCGTTCCTGGTCTTCAACCATACGATCCAGCAAGTTGATGTAGTCGTGAGGATTACCGTCGATAACAAGCAACTCGGCAAAAGCTGCGGTCAAGACACCACGGTCGCCATCATTACCGCAGCCGTCAAGCAGATCTGCAAGTAGTTTGATGATAGCAATGAATGCCCTCCTATTCTGAGGAGCCATCTCACCAAATACCAGCCTAGTGTAGTCTGCAAAATCGGCGGGCATGAGCTTCAACGCTCTCTCTTGCAGCTCGTCTAGGGTCTGTACAGACATGACCTGTCCCATTTGGTCCTTCCAAGCCAATCTCAAGTATTTCTCAAACGCAACAAATAACACGTCGACTGAAGCTTCTGACGCCGGACGATTATCAAATGGGTTCTCGATGAATGTATTGTACACAGCGTTGATTGACAATTCATCGGCGGTGCCTCGATTTCGCAGGACCCTGCCAACAATATTCCCTTTCCGTGCGAGTAGTGCGGAGATGTACCCTGTAAATGTCTCTTCAAGTCGAACGAGAGGGTTTCTTGGCTTATCATCACGGACACTGGTTCGAAGTTCAGCTTCTTGAATTGAATGAGTCGATTTGTTGCTGTTTGTTCTCGCCAATGGAGCACCCATGACCGGTGTATTACCAAGCGTGGGTGTTCGCGACTGTTTAAGAGAAGCTGAGCTATTATGCATGGACGAGGATGAGCTGTTGAATCCGCTTGAGATAAAGCTTGAGAGTAGCTTGACTGGAGAGTGAGGCCTAGACTTGGTCTTATCGCCTTCACATACAACGTTGATTGACTTGAGGGTCTTGACGTGAAACGAGATAAACGGGGCAGTCAGAGACGGATTGCTGACGTGGTATTGTGACCGAAGTAGATCGTTCACTATGAAAGTCAGTCCTTTCTCTATGAGACCATATATAATCATATATGAAACGTACCTCGCTTTGCAAATGTTGGGAGGAAGTGCTCGGTAACCACCTCATCAACAAAAACGCGGTCGTGCAGTCCATCAACCTCAAGTCTATATTTCAATCCTCCAGGAAGACTGTTGACGTTCGCAACAATATCAACGCCATAGTGACCAACAGGAGCTCCCTTCGTGCCCTTTTCATGATCGACAACTATGCGGATGGGAGCTGGCTCCTTGCGGCCTTCAGTTAGCGTATCGATTCCCTCCGCAAAAACAGATGTGTGTAGAGTAATCTCGGCAGCTCCTAGCTTGATAGATCTCAAAGACCATTTATCAGTCTCTCGTTCCTTCTCCGAGAACCGACCTTCAACTCTAGCCTTGGTGATTTCTTCGGTGAACTTCAAAGCCTTCGCGTCGTAGGCACCCTGGAGGATGAAGCTTCGAACGGTAGCACCTGGCGAGTCTCGCTCTCGTCCAGTGCCGGCATCTTTTAACTCGTGATGTGATATCATTGATAGGACACGGCTGTCGTCAGACACGGTGAAGCGAGTGTCGCCCAGAATGTGCCAGCCATTGAATATCAGTTCATACTGCTTCTTGTGCCCACCTGCTTTAGCGGTAATCGAAGCCATCATGCTTGCTGCTGAAGGGTTGTCGACTTCAGCAACTAGTCCCCTCGCCGAAAGACTACAATGGGCCGCCTTTCTAAGAACCACTACACAGTCTGTGAAAAGCAGAAACATGCCCTCTCTGGCAGCAGACGTTGACGCGGGGACCGGTGCTGAGATCTCGGCAAAGTCAACAGCAGCAATCAGGCGACCATGAGGGTGCAGCGAAGCTGGCCAAGACTCGACCAAGTTCTTCAGGCGATTAGTAACCTGCGATTTGTCTGTTGCCGGGGGGTCGAGCGAGCATATTGATGTGATGATATCTCTAGCCTTGAGCATAGGCTGCAGAGCTGGGTGTAGGACTGGGAGGTAATTGACAATATTGTCAATGAAGAGGCTGTAACGCGGTAGTCTCTGGACAGGCTCGATGACAGCGGATCTCAATCGTTGCTCTCCAGTTTGTTGAACACGTTGTGAGAAGCTTGATTGTTGCCTCACGAACATGCTGATGATTTGGGGAAACTCCTGACTGGCCCGGATGTAGTCTTGGTAGCAATCAGCGAATTGAGGGAACCACTCGAGTAGTACTTTGGCGAATGCAAGTGTTCCAGTAGGGTCCTTTAACCGTCCAGTGCCGCCATATCTGGATCCAGTTGAGCTGATCGCCGGTGCCTCAAGGTCCAGCTCGAATTCCTTCTCCGTCTCGTCCATAACCTTCCGGATATTATCCAGGAAGGCCGAGTTGATTTGTAAAATCCTATCGAGGGATTTCGGGAAGAGTTTCTGCAGGTCTTGCTCAGAAGGACTGAAGCTACCGAACGTTTTCTTTCTGGCCTTGTCGCGAAAGTCATCTGCAATATGATTGACCAACTCATGCATCTTGATCACATATCTCTCCTCCGTATCAACCAATTCCCCCATCTCTCTCCGCAGCGACATCTTCTGGTCCTGCAAAAACGATTTGGTCCGGTTCAGAGAGGTAGGTTTCGAAGGAGCCCGGCGCAATTTTGATGTAGGCAGAAACGCAACCTCCCCAAAAAGCTTCACGAGCGGCGCATAAATACCGTACTGCCTTAGCGTCGGATCCAGCAACTCGTCATCGTCCACCAGTTCTTCCGGATCCAGCTCTTGGAACGGCGCAATGGATCCAGGGGGAAGCACCAAGTCCACATCGAGATGGTGTATGTTCTGCGGGCGCAACGCCCCGGTAATTTCGTGCAACACCTCCCCGATATTCTCCACCCGCACCATACTCGCGGCCAGATCGGCGGCATGCTGCTCCGTGAAAAGCGACGGTGCACTTCCGGGCCTCTTGCCCTTCGAGCTCGCGGCTTGTACGATGACGCCGCTCTTGACGACCTCGGGCAGCTCCTTGAAGTACTTCAGCAGGCCAAAGGCAATGCCGCGGCAGACCTCATCGCCCTGCCTGTCGCGCGGCAGATGGTTGACGGACTGGTAGAAGGGGGAGTTGGGCGAGATGGTGATGCGCGGGTAGCTCTGGAAGCCGGCTGCGGTAAAGACGTGGACCTGGATGCGGGAGCTGTTGAGCGTCGAGTTGGTTGTGGTCGAGGGGCCGTGAAAGACCAGGACGGGTAGGTGGCCGAGGTTGGCATCGGTGGTGTAGTAGAGGGTGACCTCATCCTGCGACAGAGCCAGCTCATCGGTAAGTCGAACCATGGTGAGGGATGGGGAGGGATGGTGTTGTCGAGTTTAAGGTCGGGGTTTGGGTCGGGTCAGGGCAGGGCAGATCGCCTAGTGGGTCTCGTTGGGCATAGCGAGTGACCCTCGAAGATGAGGAGTTGTAGATCAAATTGATTGACCGACTGACTCGATACAGGTGGTAGTTGTGATTGTGGTCGTGACTGACTGTGATCGTGAACGTTGGAAATTATTGCAGCTGGGCAGCGGCTGAGCCCGAGCTGGAAAAACAAATCGACCGCCCGCGTTGTGTTCCTCTCGCCGCCTATTCATTCGATTTGTTTTCGTCGCCCTCAGGTCCGACGCAGGAACCAGAACACCTTCGACCTGCACATCCAAGGAGTCGCTGCATCAGCTGGACCTTTCCAAGATCCTTGGACCAGCGTCATTCCGACTCTAAAGATAGATATTGCTGCAGAGGAAGAGCACAAGCCAGTCACGGGAATCTCGACGCGTTGATTGGTCAGGGTCGCGTCGATGTAAATACGGAACGCATCTTCTTCAACCCGGCTCAGTACTTTTCAAGCAGTGGCACCTTGGAAGGAAGATTAAGATAATATTCAGTTTGATAGAAGAGCTACCGGTACAATAGGTGTCGAGTCTATTCGCCAAGAGAGAGAACGATTGTCACGATAACCCGATCGCTTACCCCAGCAACGACGACGACAACAACAGCAACACAACTACTTACATCTGCAACAATGGCAACCCAGTACACAACCGACATCCCCATCTCCTCTAGCCACACCCAGCAAGCGTTCAAGCTCCTCGAGCTCCCACCCGAGCTGCTCTCCCTCCTCGAGTCCGAGAACCCCCCAACGTACTCAATCCCCCTCTCCTCTCTCCAACGCGCCCCCCCAACTAACACGCCTATGCCCACACCCCCAGCCTCACCATCACCTCTTCCACCTCAGCCCCAAGCTACGCCATCCTCACCCACGGCACAAACAAATACCAGATGCGCCAAAAGAACACTTCCAACCCACTCCTCATCCTGCAGCCGTCCCGCACCGGCCCGACCCCCGTCGACGACGCCGACGGCTTCGTCAGCCAGCCGAGCGTCACAGCGGTGGCGAAGATCGAGGACACAGTGGAGCTGATCTTGCAGGAGGAGGCTGGGCCCGGGGAGAAGAAGAAAGACGCGAAGGTGAACAAGTGGCATGAGAAGTTTGCGAGGAGTAGAGCCGAGGGGAAGAGGTGACGGACGATGGGTGTGTGGACGTGTAGAGCAAGAGCTGATCTGGAAGATGGTGTGGTCGGTTCCGCCGAGGGGACTGAAGGGAGTGTGTACCTGTTTTGAGGATTGGATAGGCTCGATTGTCGATGCAGGCCCTTTGGCCCGGCACGAAGCTGGCGCCGTCAGGTATACATACATACATACATACATGCAAGAGCGTGGTGTGGAAAGCCTCGAGACCTAACACATACTTGGAACAAGCGAGGAACAAGACATGCGCCAACCTCGACAAGCAAAGCTGTATAAGGTAGGTAGGTACCAGGTACCTTACCAACAATACTTTCTGCCCCTAGTGTCCCAGGCTTTTCTTCTCTCTCGCAAAGTTTTCATCATGTCAAGTACATAATCTCTCCTCGCCTATCTATCTATCTACCTACCTACCTACCTTACTATTATAATTTATCTTCCCCAACACATCTACCTACCTATCTACTCACCAATCCCCTCCTCCCTCCCCCCCTCCCCCCCCATTCCCCCTCCTTCATCACGCACCAAGCGCAACAAACAGAACTACAACTATAAAACCAAATAAATCCTCAAAACCCGGGAGTAAAAACCAGATCTCAAATACCCCCCTACCCTTACCCCAAATCCATCTCTCCCCTCCCCAATCTCTCCCCTCCCCATCACTCCCCTCCCCTCCCCCTCTCCTCCCCTCTCGCGAATAAGTAAGTAAGTAAACAAACAAACTTTACCAATCACTTGCCCCCTTCCCCCCAATCCCACCACCAACCTGCCCCCTCCACC